TATCACTAGAGTCCAAAATTATAATGTATATCAAAAGTTATGGTAGTAGTACCACCTAGTATCTATAACAGTTCTTCTACTCGTATCCTAAAATGTTAGGGATTTGAATTTTTGGCTTCATTCTTAATATCTTTTAGGGCTTATAAATATCTCACTCAGGCTTGGTTGATAGTGCATCAATTTTTTAGTTATCCTAAAATTTTGGGATTTAAATTTGATTCTATTTTTGAAACTTTGTGAGACTGCCCCACTTAGGTTTGATTGATAGTGTATTAGAGCTATTGAAGTATTATAAAATATCATTTTGAGCATAGGGTGATAGTAGCATTATAAAATATCATTTTGAGCATAGTGTATCAGAGCTATTGAAGTATTATAAAATATCATTTTGAGCATAGTGATATGCTGGCTGATACTTCACACTATTTCGTGGAGCTAAAAAACTCATAAAATGGATGCTTAGGTAACTTATTTTTAGGTAATTTTGTCTCTACTTGGCAACTACACATTACATATATTTATAGAACCAAAATAGTCATAAAAGATAATCAAAATGAGACTACCAAGCTTAGTATAAACCTTTTACATATTGTATAAATCATGAATAAAGTTGAAAGATACGAACTTATACAAACATTATATCGAACATCCTTTGTACATATTTGCTCGTGATAGGGTGCAACTGCTCCATGCAGTCAACATGTCGACTCCACTTGACTGACGCGTCAAAAGTATGTAGTCAAGCCAATACCACACAACCTGCACAATAGATAAGTATAACGACCCCAAACATCATTATAAAAGAGAGCGTATAACTATGTTCCAAGACATAATATCTCTCTCAATTTGATTTATCCAACTAGATCACTTACAAGATGGGTATTTGTCAAGATCGCCCTGACATAGTTTTTGTATCGTACGACTCAAGCATACAACACAAAAGACGTTAATTCGTATAAAGCCATCGAACCGACCCAACCAGCAACTAGGGAATCCGATTTAATCTAAAAAAGATACTGGTGATTTACGTTATGGAAGAAACAAATATCAAATAAATACAGAAATTTCCATTTCTTCCACTAGTGCCGAGTGATAAGGGAGAGACATAACATATATAGATTCGTACAATCGATGATTAAAATTAACTTAATATAAATATAATTATATAATTAATCCTAAAATTTATACAATAAATTAGATAGACGGCTAGTATAGTTCGCTAGAGGGGTTTCCAGAGTGATTAGATATGTTTTACCTTCCCAGTTGGATGATTAATATATATATATATATATATATATATATATATATATATATATATATATATATATATATATATATATATATATATATGTTTTAGCTATCTATCTCTTCCGAGTGATCTGACGGCTTTAGCGTGGACACGTCAGAGACAAACGCTCCTGCCATCTCATCCGTTTCTAGGTCGATCAGACGGCTCTACCACGAACACAGCCGTCGGAGAGCTCTCCACGAACAGACATCGACTTCCCTCGCATTCCAGTCTTCCGATAAACTTAGGATTTGATTCCGAGAGAGAAAGGAGAAGCTGCAGGATCCATGGACCGATCGCTCGGAATCCGCGGCTCTTTGATCTTGTTAGGGCCAATGCCCGCAGGTATGCTCTGCAGCGTTTCCATTCCATGAATTCGCCTTGGAGCCGATCCGTTTGGGTTATTCACCAATCTCATCTGTTTTCACATTTATTTCCCTTGGGTTTTTTCTTTCTTTTTGCTTGTTTTGGATAGCACTTCTAGGGATTAGATTGGGTAATTAGCTCTGAGGGGTGGGTTCTTTCCTTTCTTTAGTTGGATCAAGGATTCCAATGGATTGCATTGTCCTGATAGAGGAGAAACTTGACCTATGATGATCTGTAAAGTTGCATTGTGGATCTTCGTATGTGATAGGATGATATTTCTGTCCTAAAGAGTGTGATTAAGACCATCTGAGGGTTTTCTGAAGTCAACTCAGGGCTAGTTCTTAGCCTTCGTCGTTAAAGAACAAAAAACTCTGTGTATCAGATGTACCTTTCATTATGTTTTCGTTCCAAACCAAGTAATAAAGAGATACCTTCTTGGGTGAATTGTTTCGTTAAAGAAAAAAAGTGTTTATGCATTAATTGCACGTCAAAGTTCATTATAGTGATTGCGTGTTGCATCATAGTTTCAAGTGAGCGTCCCTGTGGTGGAGGCAATTACATTACAAGATAGAAAAGCATATTGTCATCATATGTACATTTGGAATGAACCGAATCGATCTTATTCTTCCATTAGGACGAGCTTGGTTGTCCCTTATGTGAATTCTCCATCGGTAGGAAAAGAAAAAGGAAAAGTTCTTGAAGTTAGTTGACTCCCTGTTCCCGAGTCAAAAAAAAGAAATTATCGGTTTGAGTTCATCTCAAGTTTTTGGAAATGGATACTAAGGAAATGCTAAATGCTTTGAAAGGGTCGTAACGTGTTTCATTTGAAAATTAAAATTGTATATATGTTTTTTTAATCTAGTTTGTTAAAAGGCAATAATATTAAGAAGATACAACTAGTTATCTAGTGAGAGGGACTACTTGCATACATTGCTTGTTATTTTACAAGTGTATGTACATGATGGTTATTCTTATGATTGAGTCCATTCCTATGCCTAGTGTTCTATATTTTACATTAAACTGTGGCATTATTGCCGAAGAATAATGATTCTTACCTCAAAGCAAGGATTTTAATACTGGTCAGATTGGTAGATATTGATTGACATTTACCACTCCGAGTAAGAACCAGTACTGGAGCATATGACTCGATAACGGTACAATGGAAAATTCAAATGAATTTTCTATTGTTTCATTAAAATGTTACCAGGCGATATACCATAACTAATACCAAATCATGTTTAAATTGTTGTTCTAAAGACTATTAACTTGGGCAGGATAAAGGTTAGCGTTTTCATTGCTGTTGTTGTCTCTAAAAATGGTCATGGTGTCATAGCAACCGACCGAGGTAAACATATCATGCCATCCTGGGTGGCATTTACTGATGATTGGATTCTAATCGAAACAACTGCAAGTAATCAAGCAGATCTAAATGCAGAGAGAACTATCTTCTATGTCAAAAGATCAATTGGAAGAAAGTAAAATTACTATATTCATCATCGTTATATGTTTTCTGCCTTTGGTATTGGTAATCTGACAGATATATAATATATTTGCTCCGTGGGTTTGATGACAAATAAGTAAAAGAGAACATCAAACTTGTTCCATACAAGCTTGTTAACGAAGATGATAACCCTTTCATTCAAGTTAAAGACAAGGATGGGAAGATCAAGGTTTTCCGTCCTGAAGATATAGTGCCACTGTTCTAACAAAAATGAAAGATACAACTGAAGCATTTCTTGGAAAGAAAATAAAGGATGCTATTGTCACTATTTTAGTTTGTCTGATATGTCAATGACTGGTTTATCACTGGACATTAACAGAGTCCTTTTTTTCCTTGGGTGTGCCAACAAACCACAATGATACCCAGGCAGGCTACCAAGTTTACCAGGGCAGTAGCTGGTCTGAATGTTGCAAGGACTATCATTGAAGCAACTGCTGCTGTCATTATTCTGGACAAGAAGGGAAGTGAAAAGAGCATCCTTATTTTTTACCTTGGTAGTGGGACAATTAGTGTCAGTATCTTGACAATCGTTAATGAAAATTTCATGGTTCTAGCAGCAAATGGTGACACTTATTTAGTAGGTAAAGTTCTTGTTACAGTAACATTTTTGTTTGGTCATTATTTGTTTGATCACACTCCTTTTACAAGTTAAGAAACTTTAAAGTGGATAAAGCTTGTAAGAAGAAGGGTTTCAGTGAATAAAAATTGTCCCGTCTCTTCTAGTTTCCTGTTTGCTCATGGAACTAGTCAATTATAAGACAGTGTTGCCTCCATAATCTGGCATGTGTTGCATCCCGCTTGGGGTTCAGTCTGTTCATGAATTTAGTTCCGAATCAGCTGCAGAAATGAGGGAGCTCAGCTTGCTTTGTAGCTGACACAAAATGAAGCACACACTTGTAGCACAGATTTGATTGTCTGAATTCCTAGTTAAAACTAAAAAAGATATCTTATTTTTGAATAGGAATATACTAACGATCTAATTCATCACAGATCAGCAAGTTCATATATACAAGTACGATAAGAAGCATTGTTAAATATCATTCAGGAAAGCTTTGTTATGTATGTTTTCTGATTAAGAATCTTTGAATGACAGGGGAGGACTTTGGTCAGCAGATGATGGAAATTTTCATCAAGTCGATCTAGAAGAAGCATGGAAACAACACCAGCAAGGAGTGAGTGTGAAGGTGCCTAGAAAGCTTTGAGCAATCTGCACCAGGCACATTAATTCAAGAAACTGAGCAACGATTATTCCAGATAGATTATGGGGCCAGTAACGAAGGAGGCTATGGAAGATGCTGGGCTGGAGAACCACCGGATTGAGTAAATTGTTCTTATTCATCGGATCGCCGGCATTCATAAAGTTCAGCAGCTCCTGAAGGAGTTTCTGATAAAATGGAACGCAAAAAGGTGTGAACTATATGAGTCAGTTGCATTTGGTGCTACCGTCCGTGGAAGCATCCTCAGTGGAGATGGTGGATAAGTAACCAAGGTAATCATCACTGCACTAGTTCCTTGCAGGCCATCACACGCTGCATAACTGCCTCCATTAAATTGCAGCACTGCTTTCTCTACCTTACCTTAACCAATAAGCAGCACACTTTATGCTGTTTTTTCCCTTTTCCTATGCTCCAATTTGTGATGTAGTCCCCAACGCAGAGATACTCGAATTGGATGTTCCATCCTTACTCTTAAAATTAGACTGTTGGTGGAATGATGACTAAGCTTATCCGAAGAAATACTGTCATCCCAACCAAGTAATCTCACCACTAAGCATGATCAGTAGACTACTGTCACCATTCGGGTATGAGCATTGTGGTTAATCTAATTTAAACTTCAGTACTCATCTTGAGATCTTATTCCATTTAAATGAAGGCTGTAGGTTGCTTGCAAATTTCACCCACAGGAATTCCACCAGCTCCCAGGTTTGTAACTCAGATGTTATTCAAGAATTGATGTTCTTTTCCTTGCTATGAACAATTATTCTTGATGGTGAGAACTTTTCATGTTGATGCCAATGGGACACTAAATGTTATAGTTTCATAAATTTCATGAACATGGATCATGTCGACACACTAACCTCATGTATATATTGGATCCTTTGACTGTTGTTTCTGGTACACAGTAACCTGCTTTGTGAAGACCAATCAGTACGTTTTTACTGTGACATCAGGACAAAAATGTCGCAAGCACAAACAGAAACATACTGAGCTTACTGACACTCGAAATAGAAAACCATTCACCACCTACTCCACACTGATAACCCCCAACCTCAGAGATTCCCTTCCCCACCCCGTCAAGCAAGCTTGCTCATGGTCGAACGCCAGTATGAGGTTGCATCAGCCGCTGCAATGGATCCTCCTCTTCTTCTTCCTTTTGGCCGCCTCCTTCGATCCCCTAGCCACCAGCCTCGCCAGTGATGATGCCCAACTCCCCAAGGTGCCATGCGAGTCCCCGAACTACTCCTCCTTCCCCTTCTGCAACACATCCCTCCCCGTCGCCGTTCGCGCCCGCAACCTCGTCTCCCTCCTCACCCTGCCGGAGAAGATCCAGCAGCTCTCCAACACCGCCGGTGCCGTACCCCGCCTCGGCCTCCCGACCTTCGAGTGGTGGTCCGAGTCCCTCCATGGCATCGCGGTCAACGGCCCCGGCGTCGCCTTCAACGGCTCCGTCCGCGCCGCCACCGAGTTCCCCCAGGTCATCCTCACTGCTGCCGCCTTCAACCGTACGCTGTGGCGCGCCGTGGCCCGCGCCATCGCCGTCGAGGCCCGGGCCATGTACAACGTCGGCCAGGCCGGCCTCACCTACTGGGCACCCAACATCAACATCTTCCGGGACCCGCGGTGGGGCCGGGGCCAGGAGACGCCCGGCGAGGACCCGCTTGTGGCGTCCGAGTACGCCGTCGAGTACGTGAAGGGATTTCAGGGGGAGTACGACAACGGCGAAGCCGGCAGCAGTTCTATGATGCTTTCCGCCTGCTGCAAGCACTACACCGCTTATGATTTGGACAGATGGGGAAATTACACCAGATACATCTTCGATGCGCAGGTATGTAATTGCTGGAGCAGCAGCTTCCATTCGTCACCAGTTTCTGTTTGGTTTAGAATTTGATTCGACGAAGAACCATACTGTTTATTGTCAGGTGACGGAGCAGGACATGGAGGACACATATCAACCTCCATTTGAGAGCTGCATCAAAGAAGGTCATGCGAGTTGTCTCATGTGTGCCTACAATCAGGTCAATGGTGTGCCTGCTTGTGCTCGGGGTGACCTCTTAGAGAAAGCACGAAAAGAATGGGGATTCGACGGGTACATTCTTCATGAATCTTGGTTCTGTTACTATGCCTCTTTTGGATTCTCAAGCTAGAACAGATCCCTTTTCATCACTTAATTCCAAAGCAGAACTCTGTCTGAACTTAGCTGATCAGCTATTGAATGCAAAAATGCAGATATGTTACCTCCGACTGTGATGCTGTTGCGATAATTTATGAAGATCAGCAGTACTCCTCTTCACCTGAAGATTCGATTGCTTCTGTTCTAAAAGCAGGTTAGAATTGATCATATCATTTCCTATCATGTCCTTCAAGAACATGAACTGATTTGTGCATTCTGGAAAAGGAATGGATATCAATTGTGGAACGTATTTGCTTCGGTTCACTGAGTCAGCAGTTAAGTCGGGAAAGGTTCAAGAAGAAGACATCGACCAAGCACTACTTAATCTGTTCTCTGTTCAGCTGAGACTTGGGGTCTTCGATGGTGACCATGCAAAGAATCGATTTGGGCACCTAGGACCCAAGAATCTCTGTACTCAGGAGCACAGGGAGCTCGCTCTCGAAGCAGTGAGACAGGGCATTGTCCTTTTGAAGAATGAAGAAGGTCTTCTTCCCCTAAGGAAGCATGAGGTGAGTTCTGTGGCAATAATCGGTCCGGCTGCCAGTTACACAAGCGTATATGGTGGTGATTACACAGGTACAAAATGTCATTTAATTAGCTGAAGTCGAATAAATCGTTTGCATGAGGCTGCAATATGATCATATCATTGTGACGTAGGCTTTCCTTGCAATCCAACAAGCTTTTTGGAAGGCCTCCGATCATATGTTCCAAGAACAACATTTGCAGCTGGTTGCATGGATATGCCCTGTGAAACAACGGTTGGATTTGAGGAAGCTGTTGACATTGCCAAAGATGCTGACATAGTCGTCATGGTTGCTGGACTCAATCTAACAGAAGAAACGGAAGATCTTGATCGGCACAGCCTCCTGCTGCCGGGCAAGCAGATGGATCTCGTAAGGTCCATCGCCAGTGTCAGTAAGAAACCACTGATACTAGTCCTAATCGGTGGTGGACCTATCGATGTTTCGTTCGCAAAAGAAGATCCATTAGTTGCTAGTATTCTTTGGATTGGATACCCAGGTGAAGTTGGTGGGCAAGCACTTGCAGAGGCTCTCTTTGGAGATCTCAACCCAGGTCACTTGATCGATCACTGCTCCTAATTTAATGTAATCCTGATGGCTAATGTAATCTTTGTCTGAAACAGGGGGTAGGCTGCCTGTGACTTGGTACCCGGAGTCCTTTACCAGTGTCCCTATGACCGATATGAACATGAGAGCTGATCCTTCACGAGGTTACCCTGGGCGAACGTATCGATTCTACACAGGGAAGGCAGTCTATGAGTTCGGATATGGGTTGAGTTATTCCAACTACTCTTATAAGTTCTTATCGATGCCTGAAAAGATTAGACTGGCACGATCATCTGCTATGAGAGGTAGGCTGGATGTCGTGCATATTGAGGAGGTCGCGTCCTGCGATGCTATGAGATTTCATGTACAGGTATCAGTCATCAACAATGGTGGTGTGGATGGGAGTCACACTGTTCTACTGTTTTCTAGATCAGGAACAAACGTCAGAGGCGTTCCACTGAAGCAATTGATTGGCTTCGAGCGTGTGAGAACAACATGCTATGAAGCTACGGAGGTTACGATCTTGGTTGATCCTTGCAAGCATCTTAGCACGGTGAATGAGCATGGCCAACGGGTTCTACCACTGGGAGCTCATGTGATAATGTTGGAAGATTTGGAGCACAAGTTAGTCATCGAAGTGGCCGAGTCCATGGAGGAAGAGGAGACGAAGATGCACGATGAGCTTTAAGATTGTGTTGTTGGCTGACAAATAAATTTAGATGGGACACTCGTAATGCTGTAACATTTGGGGACATTGAAACTGTGATCAACTCTGCTCCTTTGTGCTGTTAGCATGGAGAGCTTCTACCCACCCCACACCTTTTGGTGTTTGGCTTTTAACGTGGAGGATGTCGGTAATTAATAGATCAGCTTAGTTCAAATATGTGAGCGTAAGAAATCTGATGATGTAAGCGAAGGTGGGTTGGATATTCGTTTGGTGGTTGAGAGGGATTCAAATGTTTGCTCAATGGTCGATCTTTACAAAAATCGAGGTCTAAGGAGTTTGTCGATGTGACTCTTTTAACATAATATTATGGACTTAACTGATTTTGTCTATATGCCCTGTAAATATGGGTTAAAAGAAATATTATATTCAGAATACCATAACAAGAGATCTTATTTAGAATTAGATTAGGAGTTTTCGGTAAACTTTGATTTGATTAGAATTATATTTTGGTTTAAGTGACGTGATAGGCTTTGCTAATAAAGATATATATATATATATATATATAT